TAAACACATATATTACTGTTGTACATGTATACTAATACATGTATTTGTGAAAATCAAATTATGAACAGTTCAAGAAACTACCTTGAAAAGTATCAAATATCTAATTGAATATTTTGAACTGATCTTTTCCTTGTTAGATCCTATTCTAAGATTTTGATCATGTGGATCAAAATATGAGATATCATTGTTTCTTATGCTTCATTTTGCAAGGCCAAAAATGTTCGAAATTTTGAACACTATACACATAAATTATACTCTCCTTGATTCTTGAAATCATCTAAGAAATTATCAGCATTATCTACTAACATAAAATTTCTTGCACATTTACTCCACATGTAAGAGTGTGTATCAATGTAAGTTGTTTCAGTGCAAGTTCCTGTTCCTCAAAGCTATGTTAGCTTTACAGCTTCATATACACAGGTAACTAATACAAATTAGCTTCATATACACAGGTAACTAATACAAATTTCAAAAAATCCTAAGTCTTTTAAGATATTTTTAATTTAATGCTGTCTGTTTTGACTCTTCACAAAGCTATAAATAAACACATACAATGTGTAATCCTGTGAAATTTTAGTTATTATACCCATTTTTTTTCGAAGGATATCATACATGTAATAAAAAGTTTACAATAGAATGTATTGCCTTCAAGCTAACTAGGCATAGACAATACTCATTACAGCAGGTAACATGTTGAGCTTGTAGCTAATGAACTGCAAAACCAGCCACCAGACTCTGGGGTAAATCATAACATTACATATAGAATACGTCGGTTATAAGCACTTCATGTTGATACACAAGCCTTCGCTGGCAAGGTTAAACAGAATGGCTCTACACCAAACGATCACAGTTATAGACGTATCTGTTACCTTGAGAAACACAGGTACTTTTTATATTTTATTTAGAAACAGGGCTTATGTTAACAGCATTTTACTGTAGCCAATGTACCACTGCCTCCATATATATATATCAATAATAAATAAACAAGTCCTTACAAAGGAAAATATAGAATAAAATAACAATTATGTATGATCTACCGCTAGACCTTTTTGTCTTTTAGGGCTTCTTCAGGCGGACTGATGTGTATTTGTCACCGTTGGTTAAATGACGTCATCAATATTTGCATAGTCTACAGTTTTAGTGATGTCATCAATAAACAAGCATAGTGACGTCACAAACAATACCAGGACACAGAAAACATCTACATACAATACATTGTAAAAAATATTCTGCATTCAAGCTCAGTTTGAGGGCTTTTATAAAAACAAAAATCTTTAAATTCTCCTGCAACTGTATCGTCAGTTCAGTTTGAAAATAGGTAACACATAAAAATCATCATTAGAATATTGATGCACATGTTCGCTAACTTTTAACAATCTTAGTTCATTGTCCTTCAGGTCTGGTCTATGTTTACTCAAATGTTGTCTCAATTCACTTCTGGTTTATATATTTCCATAACCATGAATTGTTTAAATCATTATTCAAATTTGTAACACTCCCTATTTCCATCCCATCCCTGGAAGTCTATCTTATCTCTACCCTGACCCTCAACATCATCCTTATAAATACTTCAAGTCACTTCATACGGTATGACATATCAAATCCTGCATGAATTCATATAGATCAAGTATCTTGTGTCTAATCAAAAGGAGATTTTGTATTCGACTAAGTATACAATACCAAACACCTTTCATCTTGGTGAGGTCTTTTTTTTTTCATCTGCTTGGAAATGACACCTTTGTAACAATGATGTCTTAGTGTAACAATGATGTCTGAGTGTAACAATGATGTCTGAGTGTAACAAAGATGACTGAGTGTAACAATGATGTATGAGTGTAACAATGATGTCTGAGTGTAACAATGATGTATGAGTGTAACAATATGATGTCTGAGTGTAACAATGATGCCTGAGTGTAACTTTTCTTCCTTTAACAGCTACATGTACCTTAAGTTTTTAACAACTGGCCTTTTTATGTACATTTTTTACTTGAATATTTTAGAAAAATATACATTAAAATCCCTGACAGTGTATCCCGTTTTCAGATATTGTTACATCTAAAGATGTCACTTCCTTGTATAAAGTCAACATATGACAATGGTCCCCATTGGCCACCAATTCAAGGGCCATATATACAACACCACATGGAAAAAAGCACAAAATGGACCAAGGAATATGACACATATATATAATCGCCTGAAGAGCCCCAAGATGGGCAAAGTACAAGCAAGATTTAGTCTTCCGTATTTTGTTTCATTTACATGTATATATAATATATATAATGTTATCCCAGTCACATTACAAAACTATATAGAAGTGTAAACACCAACAAAACTTTGAAAGGTTTTTAACCTTTTTTAAGGGGGCTGTTTTTATTTAATATTCATTTTTTTTTTTACAGGTAAAATGTTTCTAGGAAGATATGAGGGAAAACCATAACAGATAACAGAACCTAATTCAAACCACCAGGTCTGGACTATCTGTACCCTGGTCCGACCACATATCGGTTCTAATCTAATCAGCATCATCATGCTGGTTGTATCTAAACTGTGTTCTATGCATGTGGAAATGAATTCTTCAGAAACATCATTCATCCAACAAAACAGAAAAACACAGCTTCAACATTCCTTCCTACATACATTTATCCATAAAAAAAAAAAAATCTTTCTCATTTATTTCATTTGATTTTATAGATTATTGTGTGAATGAAAAAAAAAAGGTTAAAAGAAAAACAATGTTTCCAAAAGGATACATTGTTAGTTATATATACCTCTTCATAATTTTGTAACAGGTGAACGAGAAATGCAATGGCCAGACCAGCTAGGGTTTGAATCGGTGACCCTTCGAACACTAGACGGAAGCTCTTTCAATTGAGTTACCTGAGCGCTGACAATCGACACAGTCCAGTTCTGCTACAGTTTTGATAGCCTTTGAACCCTGGCAGTTTTTGAGAATTATAATCTAAAAGCAATTGTTGAAACACACATAATCTATTTCTTTTAAAATCTCAATCTCTGGAAGGGCATCATCACTTGTGTACCCTTTATGATTTCAACAATCAAATTTCACTTTCTTTAGTACAATGGGTAATAGCTATAAGTATGTGTCATTTAAAAGTGAAACTTTTGTATCCCTTCCCATATGTATACATTTTACTTTGTAACAATAATTTTTGTAATAGGACAGCGGAATTCTTTTTGATAATAATAATTCCAGGTTCTTATATACCGCTTTATCGTAACCTAGTTCGTAGGTTGTCTCAAAGCAGTTCACAAATTATTATCCGTGGTTATGGGGCCTTTGCAACCAGACAACATCTTTCTCAACTCCCTGGGGAGCATAATATATACAGCCGGTGCTGTTATTTCGGCACTCAAAGCTAGCATTCAGCAATTATAGCACTTCCCAACCACATACTCATTTACAGCTGAGTAGACTGGAACAAGCGGAGTAAAGTATCTTGTTCAAAGATACATTACAGTGCAGTGACTCGAATCCACAACCAATCGGTCACGAGCCTGGCGTCCTACCACTAGACTACCGTGCCTAATACTACTGGTGAGACACCTGGGATTTAAACCTGGAACCTTTTTACTACAAAAGGAGTCTGGACAATCTGCAACAAAATCTATATGTACATAAAGTACAAAGTCGCTACAACATCATATAATTACATACATGATGAATGTAATTAGTCATTATTACATGTAAGTGCCTATTTTTTTAAGAATTGAACACATAATTACACCTTATAAATCCAATTCTATATATGTTATTTTATTTTACATGCTCAACAAAGTTCTCATGTAATCTTTCCTAAATAAACTGTACAAAAACACATGTCATCTGAAATAATTTGCCTATTAATCAATATTAACCCTTTCACCCCTAGGTAACTTTAGTAAACTTTTCCAGTACCATGCATTTATCAGGATGAGTCCATTTTGGTCTATGGTGGTGAAATGGTTAAGTGTGACACAGTCACACTCACAGGATAACAAAAATGCTGAAGGCCAAAACCAGAAATCCTGATTCAAATCTAGAGCCTCTGAACCCAAGACAGACACTACCAACTAAGCTGTGTTTGTGTCGACCCATTGCAGATTTCTACTACACTCAAAAACACTTCAGTTGTACTTTTTCTAGTCTTTCACTTTTTCTGTTTTAGACCAGGTTCAGGTATAGTATCTCCTTGTCAACTTCAAACAGATTGCTACAACAGATTTAGACTAAAATAAAAAAAAGATAAATAAACTGGAGAAACAGAAATGCAACCACCAGACAGGTTTCGCATTGAAGCCATTTTGGTCTGTGGAGTTTATAGATAGATAGAGGTCCAAAATCTAGACTGACGCAAGATACCAATTGATCTACCTGGTCAACCATGATCAACCAAGTCCAGTTCCCTACATTCCTCCCTCATTTTCAAAGTCTTTGCCCCAAATGTAACGACTGTACAACCGAGATATCTCTTTGCCAAGCTACCAGCTGGATGCTGAAGATCGACCCAGTCCAGTTCCACTTCAAAACTTATATCGCTGAGGCAGTAAAGATTTAAATTTAATTAAAATGTTACTTAAATGTATATATACAAATTTTAAAAACATGTATTTTCAATTTGTTAGGAAAATTAGTTTTCTGTATTTGGCGACTTAATCCTATTTGGTCTAAATCTCAAAATACTGTGTGTTTTTATGAATATGACAGTTTCAATATATAAGTGTCGGCACATGGTCACACTTGGTTAGTTTCTACTACACATTTATGGTATTTTAAATATTTGTATGGTGTAATACGACAGTTCGATACGTCAGCAAGACTACATCTCAAAGCAGCGATAGCCCAGGCATGAGTTGAACCGATTGACAAGACATTAGCAGTCTTATGTCATTCAGGATTACGTTGGACACCTATCCGTCAAACCACTGACAGCCAGACCGAAGCAAAAGTCCCGATGTCCTGTGTTGTTGTTATAGTATTTCAACAAAAATAAAAGCTTTACCTGGATTATACTCTCTTTCATCTGCGCGGCAACACTCTCTCTGATCTTGGCCGCCTCCCCAACCTTGGTCAGGCCTTGGCGGAACTTTCTTTCCGACATATTCGTGTTTTCACTCTTCGGTGAGTTACGGAAGTGGACTGGCCGTCGCCATGTTGGAAATGTTGTAAATGATCAAGGGGAGGCTACTCCGTCACTACTGCACCACGCCTTCATGTTCGAAATGACTAATATAGCCAAATATATTCTCATGCAGCCGATGAGAATATCATCTAACGTCATGCGTTACAGTCCCTGCGGAGACGTGAAAAAAATGTGATACTTTTGTTCATATTGCAAATTTATTAATTTCTACATCTGTTACTACAACAGTTTATATTATATGTATTAAAACAGGGATGTTTATAGGTAGCCTAGCTATATTGGATTAAAAAAGGTACAATTAGCCTAACTGTTATATATACATCAACTGGTAGGCCCACTCAAAGATGTATATATATATAATACGTTTAAATTACGGAATTAGATTGTTATCTTAGTCGTGGTTTAAATACATCCATGCTGTGTTTCCGAGTGTTTTGTTTTAATATTGTTGTAAAGTGACTTTACCCAAGATAAATATTCAAGATAATTCATATATATTCACTATAGTTCAAATGTATCCAATATGCTAGATACATTGTTTAAATATGTATGTGTGTTAATTAAAATAATATATAATCAGTAAAAGACATAAAACATATAAATGTTCATTTCAGAGTGTCATTTCGAAATTCAATGAATTATTTTCGTAATTTTAGAAAATTGAAACAATTTAAAAAATGCAAAATTGAAGCAAATTTAAGTGCTTAAAAAACTTTTTTACTGGACGAAACACGCGCGCATGGTTCGATATATATGTATGTAATTAGCTTAAGCGGAAGGACATTAAATCTAGGTCCGTATTAGAATATCTAATATATTTGTCTGTATCACCACGGAATTAGATTAGAGTCCGTGGTATCACTGTTAACGAAATCGAAGGGAGGAAACTCTAACAGTCTTGCTTTGTTTGCTCAATTGTGAAAGTCGTTTAAATATATGTATTCACTGTGGTTTTTTTTTATTATTATTATTTTTCACTAAATAAACATTGTGTTTATTTAAATGTAATCGTAAATATTTAAAAAAAAAAAAAAGAAAGAAAGAAAAAAAAAGAAAGAAAAAAAAGATAAAACGAGGCTCCAGAGGGAGTCGAACCCTCGACCTCCAGTTTACTAGACTGGCGCTCTAACCAACTGAGCTATGGAGCCGTCATGGTATACCCGCAAAATTTCAATGGTTTTATTGACGAAGTATATTTTCGGTTTCGCAACAGTTAATTAAGAGTAAGTTTATATATAAGATTTACAGCATACACTTATTCATTTACATCATTATTTATTTGACTTTTATGCATTTATATTAAAGTCATCATAACCTGTGGTTCGTTTAAGAATTTTGGCCATGATTTTCATAATTTCTTATTTTACAGTCAGAAATGATACAACGATGAAACGTTTTGGAGGATTTTGAAGAGGTTCATTTATTGGCATGTCTTATGAGTAAATGTTGGTTTCTGGTCCTTATAACAGGATAATATAAAGGGTGTATATATGACAATATTATAGTTCAGTACGGTGTTGGTATGGAACGCCAAATTAACATACATATATTAGGTCTCTGATTGTACATATCTTCAAATAATTGAAGATAGTTACAATTAATTGAAGATAGGTTCAATTCAATCGTACCTATCTTTAAATAATTAAAGATATGAACAATTATTTGTACCTATCTTTAAATAATTAAAGATATGTACTATTATTTGTACCTATCTTTAATTGAATTTAATCTATTTTCAATTGAATCGAACCTTAGTTTGAACCTATCTTCAATGAAGTGTACCTATAGCTATCTTCAATTATTTACAATTCAATTAAAAATAGGTGCAATTCAATTTAAGATAGGTACAATAAAATTGAAGATAGGTTCAAAATAAGGTTTAATTCGTCGTATTTAAACCTATTTTAATTGAACTGTACATATCTTCAATTAAATTGAACCTATCTTTAATCATTTGTATGCCAACTTGGCGTTCCATATTGCTGCAATCGGCACATCAATGACATTAATGAGTAGAAAACAAAAACAAGATTCATAGTTTGACTGTCAATACCATTTAGCATTCTGACATTAACAAACCTTTAACATTAATACATCTGTGAATTAACACGTCAACTGAGATTACCTCTAGCCTTTCTCTTACCTGTGAATGTCTTGTTCAAATGAGAACAAAAGAGGACCGTGGTGGTTTTGCTCCACCACTGGGTCGCGGTTTCGAGGCCTCTCCGCAGGTCGGTGTTTTTTCTCCAGGTACTCCGGCTTTCCTCCACTGCCAAAATCTGGCGCGTCCTTTAATGACCATAGCTGTTAATAGAACGTGCAACACAAATACTGCAAACCAAACCAAGGCCAAAGATCACTTGTGACCGACCCTCCACCTATTACAGAGTCGGGTAAATAGGGTACTACAGGTAGTTTGGTGGACCGTATTTTTCTTAATTCAGAAAACACGGGAAAACGATTTATGTTGGTGAAAGGATTTTAGTCAATTTCAAATGCATTCAGGGGTAAGTTTTAATTGAAGTGCAAAGTGGGGGATCATAACAGTGCGGTTTATATTACTGTTACGAAAAATGGAAGTCTTACGACGAACTGAAATACCCGCTGTATCCAGACAAATGTAAAGAAAGAACGGGAGTAATACTGACTGATCAGAGACGATATGTAATATACATCTCTGGACTCACCGAGCTGGACGTGGTGAGCGGGTTTGACGTATCTTAAGTGTAAAGTATACGTGAGTATATGTATTCCTCTTACATATGGGGCAAAGAAGTAATTCCAACAGTGTGGACAAGTTTAGGTTGTCAAATTTTTAGAGCGATCCGCTCCTTTTTCAAGACACAGTGAAACAGAACAGTTACATGTACATATACATATTACGAGAAGATAAAATCGATATACTATAATTGAAAATATAGCTATTATATAAAACCAATAGTCCCCTCGGCTAAAGACAGCCGAAGGCAGCAATTCGTATAGCATACTGTTAGCGATATTGCTATTAGTGTGACATTTCGCGAAACAATTCATCTGTTAAGCTACTTTATGTGATATTTTGTTTATTTCCCAAATTCGCAGTGGAGTTTTTTATGCACCCTGTCATTTTATCACAGAAAGGGGAGATCACTTTTGAACTTTATTTTCGCTTGTGCATATTTGATATCATTGAAACATATATTTTCTATGTTTTCGAATCTGATATCGAGGTTTAGAGTAACCTCCCTTGCAGTATATAAAAAACCTCACACGGACAGCTGTTTCTGTTATTTTATCTTGGGCCCTATTGTCTTTTTCAATAAACAATATGACATGCGGTACAAACAAGTTTTTTGTTTTTTTTATCAAATACACTGTAATACATTACAGCTCTGGGTTAGCACCTCTGGAATATGTCATAGCAAATTTGAAAGTTTCAGGTTAAAAAAAAAGTCTGACTTCCGACTTCAAACACAGCAAATTTTACAGTTTCACGACCGCGAGATTCTTTTGATTTATGCACATCAGCGGATCAAACCAGTCTTCTTTTCTCATCTATAAGGTGGCGCACACTGAGCCTTAGATTTTGCTATGACAGGGGTGCAGAGAGCGTATGTGAGCTAACCTCTCGAGTATCGAGCCACAAGATTAAACTATTACTTCTTGAGGATAGAACTACTAGACGTGACAATGGACCAGAGAAGGATAGAGCTCCAAACAAATAGCTGACCCAAAATGGTCAACCACCAACAACAGACAAAAACTACCAACAACAGACAAAAACTACCAACAACAGACAAAAAAACAGACAAAAACTACCAACAACAGACAAAAACTTGTGAAACTACCAACACAACTTTAAGCAGACAACGGCACCCAGTGGATGGAGCCACAGCCAACGACTACAACCATTGATTGGACCACCGCTAACAACTGATCTAAGGACAAGGTCACCAAGGTTACGACTACAACCATTGATTGGACCACCGTTAACAATTGATCTAAGGACAAGGTCATCAAGGTTACGACTACAACACTTGATTGGACCACCGCTAACAACTGATCTTAGGACAAGGTCACCAAGGTTAAGACTACAACACTTGATTGGACCACCGCTAACAACTGATCTTAGTACAAGGTCATCAAGGTTACTACTACAACCATTGATTGGACCACCGCTAACAACTGATCTAAGGACAAGGTCACCAAGGTTACGACTACAACCATTAATTGGACCACCGCTAACAGTTGATCTTAGGACAAGGTCATCAAGGTTACGACTACAACACTTGATTGCACCACCGCTAACAACTGATCTTAGGACAAGGTCATCAAGGTTACGACTACAACCATTGATTGGACCACCGCTAACAATTGATCTTAGGACAATGTCACCAAGGTTACGACTACAACACTTGATTGCACCACCGCTAACAACTGATCTTAGGACAAGGTCACCAAGGTTACGACTACAACACTTGATTGCACCACCGCTAACAACCGATCTTAGGACAAGGTCACCAAGGTTACGACTACAACACTTGATTGGGCCACCGCTAACAATTGATCTTAGGACAATGTCACCAAGGTCACGACTACAACACTTGATTGCACCACCGCTAACAACCGATCTTAGGACAAGGTCACCAAGGTTACGACTACAACCATTAATTGGACCACCGCTAACAATTGATCTTAGGACAAGGTCATCAAGGTAACAACTACAACAATTGATTGGACCACCGCTAACAACTGATCTTAGGACAAGGTCATCAAGGTTACGACTACAACACTTGATTGGACCACCGCTAACAACTGATCTTAGGACAAGGTCATCAAGGTTACGACTACAACACTTGATTGGACCACCGCTAACAACTGATCTTAGGACAAGGTCATCAAGGTTACGACTACAACACTTGATTGGACCACCGCTAACAACTGATCTTAGGACAAGGTCATCAAGGTTACGACTACAACACTTGATTGGACCACCGCTAACAACTGATCTTAGGACAAGGTCATCAAGGTTACGACTACAACACTTGATTGGACCACCGCTAACAATTGATCTTAGGACAAGGTCATCAAGGTTACGACTACAACACTTGATTGGACCACCGCTAACAACTGA